GCTCAGAAATGCTAACTCAGCACCGCAGCTGGCTTCTCCTGGGTGAGCTGGCATCTGCTCCTGCGTTCTGAACGCAGAGACTGTGCTCACAGCCCCCGATAAACTGGCTCAGTTTCCCTTCTGAATACCTCCCGAGAGTGTTTGCTAGAAACTTTCCACAGAAAAGTTTTGCAAGGACCCACCATCCCCCTCTCTTTCTACCTTTTGCCCATTCAATCTCCCTCTTTCAACTATCAGGCAAGTCAGACAAAAACACACTGGCACTTCATTAACTTGAAACTAGCTGTATGCACATATGTGTATGCAAACACACACACATGCACACGCAGAATGATGTACACACGGGCCCTTCCCAGTGCTGAGCGAGGCAGCCTGGTGGCCTCACAGCTTGCCTGTCCCCTTCCAACAGCTCGCTGGTCATTTTCTCCCCATTAAAACTCCACCCTCTTGCCAACCTTCCTTCTCTATTTAGCAAATTTTAACTGGCATCTCATGAAACATATAAAGAAACACAGGAGGCAGCCAAGAAAGATTGCCAAACCTGCTCACCTGCCTAGAGCCACCTTGCAGAGATGTTGATGAGAATGCATTTGGCTTAGATTTTTTCCTCCCAGGCAGGGTGGGCTCCCTCAATCCCCTTCCCATCCTTCACTGCAGACCCCCCAGGTGATACACCAGTGGCCTGGGGGTGGAGACTGCAATTTTTCTTTAAATCTTTCACTTAAGAAGTCAACCCTGCCCATCCCTGCTCAGCCTTACTTCCCCATGGAAGTCCCCGCACTGAATTCTCTTTCTCTACTTGGCACAGTTCTCTCCTCTTGCATTTCAGAGCTCAGCTGGGTGGCGCTGCCTCTGGGAAGCCTTCTGGAATTACAAGCAGGGATAGAGACTCCTGTCTCTCACCTCCTACAGAGCTACTACAGGAGCTGCTGTACTTACTCCTCCCTAGTGCAGTGCCAGTCATTGCTCAGTAGCAGGCCCCCTCCAGGCGCCCGTGGTGAAGTCTTTATGTTCAAGGCTGGGTTTCGGTCCCTCTTGATCTCTAGCACCTGGAAGAATACTTGACACATGGGGCGGGGGAGAGGTGCTCAGTAGCTGGTGCACGCATGCAGTTGTGAATGAACACACGTCACGGCCTCTGCTCTGCATCTCCACACGTTACAGCTTTCCAGTCCATGAGAGCCACAAGTCAGGGACTCAAGGCACAGAGGCCCCGGCTCCGTCTTCCTAGATCTCTCTTGCAGTTTAATAACAAGAACTGCTCCACCTTATCAAAGCCTCTCCCGTTACGAGCCCTGCCCCTCTGCTTTCCTGGGGGTAGTACTTGGATAGTAATTTAGAAAACTGAACTCTCAAACAAGCTTTCTCAGTCCAGATGGACCCCAGTCCTACCAGGCCTGCGGGCAACACGGAGAGATTGTTTGTGGCAATTTATAGGAGCTGTCAAAGGTTGGAAATGGGCAGAGTGACAGCACCACAGGAAAAATGACCTGACTTTCCATTGCTGTGATGGCCCTGGGCTCCCTCTTCTGTCTTCAGCAGCGGGGGTAGGGGATGGGCCAGGGGTTTTGTCCTCATCTGAAAGACTGACTAGGTTAGGCCCAGGGAGGAAGGTGCTGGGAGAGAGAATGCAAACGGGCTGGGCTACAGCCTGCCTCACTCCCTCTATTCCCAGCAAGCAACCCCAGCTTGGGAATGAGGGCAGAGAGTGGGCACGGAGCTGTTGGCTCCCCAGAGCAGGAAAACACCAGGTTGCAGCTCCTGAAACTCTGGAGAGGAGAGACAACACAGACAGGGAAAGGGGTGGAGGCCCCAAACCCAGACTCCAGGTCTCCTGAGGCACAGAGGCTCAAACCTGCCCGACAGGGCCACCGTTCACCTCCACCCATCCAGCAACTGTTGATGGACATCTGTCAGGGGCTGGAGGCAGCTGAGCTGGGAATCTAGGGCCTTCTTTCAGGAAACAAACAGTCTAGCACAAGAGACAAGAACTCTGGAACTACAGGACGATGAATTCTAGAAGTCTGCCCAGATCAGCACCACAGGTGCAGGGTGGGGGTGTGGCTTCAGGAAATAATCCACAGAGGCTCAGCTATTGAAGACCAACCCAAATCCCACCTCCAGCTACACAGCACTTACACTGGGCGAGTCATATAAAGGCACACAATGAGAAGGAACAGAGGTGCACTCAAAGTGAGAAGAAGGGGTCTGGGTTTGCTTTATTGGGCTGGGTTTTGGGCCCACCTGCTCAGACAGGTGTTCTGCACTTCCTGTGGGAGTATGCGCGGTCTGGCGGTCAGAACTGAATTGCTGTGTGGCCCTTAACCTTACTCCTCGGATGGAGACTCTGGCCTCTTTATTGACTCCAGAATCACCATCTGTCTTCTGTTGTCTGTCTGTGAGCCCGGCGGTCACTTCTAGGAAGGTACCTCTAGGGGGCTGGTAGTTCTGCCCCGTGGGGCCACACAGAACTAACAGCAACCTCTGTAAGTGGCCCACTGTCATGTTCTTGAAAATCACTGTCACTATTCACTTCCCTCCACTCCTCATACTCCTGGAGACATAATATTCCCAGTTTCTTAATCCCTCCCTAAAGACAATTTAGATTCAAGTCCATCCACCATCCTGTCTGCTTTTTTCCCACTTAAAAATTTATATTGACCTCAAAAAATGTGAAGCCCACAACTGAATGTAAAAACCAGGTACAATCTGGCCAGGACAGAGAAGACTGGGACTATCACCTTCTTTGTTTCCTGTTTCTCACTTCCAGTAATGCAACCAAAGACAGAATTTGTTGTTTGGGCAACCATATCTTACTGCTCAGTCCTCTGCAGCTTAGTGTAAGCTCAAATCCCAGATTACTTTCTGCTGCTAAACCACACCTTCCCCACTCTCGTCTAAGCAGTCCTTCTCCGGGCCAAAGCACAGAATCTGGCCAGCGGCAGAACTAGCAGGTTCTAGCCCTGGATCCTAACTAAGAAATGTCTCAGCGAGAGGCTGTCCTGGCTCTTCTGGTCACAAAGCTTACCTGGGGAGGCAGGATGAGCAGAGAGCTTATGGGGAAGACTGCAGTCTGCAGGCAGCCCAGGAGGCACGGCCCCCATCCCAGGCCATGAGCGCTGATGTCCACAGCAGCTTACTGGGAGCACGCTGCCTTCCTGTGTCACACTGTCCAGATGTCACCCCCAAAGGCCAGCATGCTCTCCATCCTATGTGGGGCCTTCCTGAATGTCACAGACTAAAGCACACAGCTCGCTTCTTGGGAGATTGAGGGATCTTCTCACTGGCCTATTTTTGTCTACTCATGTAGACGTAATCCAGGTTAGGGGCTCCTCAAGGGTACACACAGTTCTCACTCACCTGGTCAGAGGTGAGGTCCATGGATGGAGGCAGTGGGACAGACAGTGAATGAGTGATTGCAAGTATGAAAGACAACAAAGAAGGCAAAGGGGAAGAAAGAGAGGGGAGGAAGGTGGGCACAGGGCAGGGACACGGGCGTCATCTTGGCTAACCACCCTGATTTCCTGCCCTGCACTGCTACGTGGGGAGTGGGTGAGCTGAGGCTATGGAGGGGAACCAGGTCCAGGTGGCAGGGAAGCTGGGAGCTCTGGGGCTGGGGGAGGAGTCCCTGTGCCTCGGGAGGCTGCCCCAGGGAGTCTCCCTGCCCTCCTCCCAGGGAATGTGTTGCACGGCTTTTTCCCAACACAGCCCTTTCTTCCTCCAGGAGTATGGAATACACCAGAAAAGGGCCAGCCCGCCAGTACCAGAGAGGGCAGCATCAAGCACTTGTTCTAAAAAGCCCTTACCGGGGAAGCAGGACACCCAAGGGGAACAGAATCTCGACCCTACCCTGGCAGTGTAGCTCAAGACAGAAATTCACTTTTAAACTTCTGTTTTCCCAGTCTGTTTGGTAAGAGGCTCCGATTTGCTGCCTCCTAAGGTGATGTTGATCCAGTGGGATTCGATTCTACAAAGGGATGTGGGACAGGACTGTCTACAGGATGCCTTGTAGAGTGGATCTCTCAACCCCCTTCCTCCCTTGGGGAATGGAGAGATCAGCTTTTCGGGCACACTGGAAGATCTACTTGGAGAACAAACGCAAAGCAGGCTAGGATGCGGGGCAAAGCGCTCAGAGTTGGAGGCCGGCTACTCCCCTTGCCCTCCAGGTGTGCACCTGGGAGGGAGAACTGGGGGGTGGGGAGAGCAAGACAGGAAGGGAGGGACGCCCTGGAGCAGGAGAGAGGGTGAAATAACCAGGGGTTCTTTCTTAGACTACCATCTTTACTGCTCCTAAAAGAGTGTGAGGCTGCTCCCCCAGTTTCTTTCGTCTCTTCCCAACTTCCTATCCCACAGTACATCCTCCTGGCCCACCCCATCCCAAGGAATGGAAGGAAAACAGGTTGCAAAGTCTCTTGGATTAGAAAAATCACTGCTTCTCACAATGGAAACGGCAAACTCACTCTGTACTAAATGCCAGGATAAGCCACCAGCGGGGCCTCTGCCCCGCCCCAGGGCCTCTTCCTACAGACCAGCCTGGATGTGCTGGCTAAGTTCTGCTGCACTCTGGGAGTGCTTTTGGAAGAGACAGGAACCCAGATCATGGCTAAAAGCTCAGAAGCACATTGGTTCTGCTGCCCACACACATGTATATGCACAAATGCACAGCCATGCACCCGCACTCACTCATCCACGAACAGCCTGCTTGAGCCCAGATAAGCTCCATGCAGTCCCCTGTGGCTCTTCCCAGGTTTTTGCAAGGTGAGGCTCAGGTAGCCCTAAGCGTCTCTCCATTCCTGGGAGGACAGGTCCCCTCCCCCACTTCCTGGTGCTTACAGAACAGTAAGAAAGTAAAGTTTGCAGGTAGAGAGAGGCTCCCCCATTCACGGCCCCCCAGGGCTATGGGTTCTGAGAGGTGGAGCCAGCAGCCAGGCCTCTCCTCATTGGCTGGGCTCAGCAGGTAACCGGAGGCTCTGCGGAGAGGCGCATAAATAAAGAGTGAAACTAGCACCACCTCCTTGAAATGAGCTGAGTCCCTCTCACCTTCGCCTCAGAAGAACCAGTTTCTCTCTGCTTTCTTGTCTGTCAGCAACCTCTGTTCTAAAAACTCACCTGAATCTCCAGCTGCACTCAAACTCTCTCTGTTTCAACCACTTCCACTTTTCTTCCCCGTCCTCCAACTCCACTGTCCTTTTTTTTTTTTACTTTTTTTTTTTTGCTAAATTAAAGGGAGAAATCAACTAATCGGGACCAGCCCCCACCTCTCCCTGGCACCATTTCTGTTCTGCACCTGCCTACTGAACTGGGCTCTCTGTGTAGTGTTTCTCATTTCCACTGTCCTCGAGCCTTAGAGGGAAAAGACGCTCCCAAGATGTGAAATCTGTTCTCTTCCTCGCATCCACGTGACTCTGCAGCCATCTCTTTGCTGTGCATTATCTTATGACCAGCAATGCTTTCTTATTTTGAATCAAATCCAAAGCTGGGCCCTGGTATCTGAAGGTGCAGACACTCATACTTCCAGGTGAGTCGGAAATCTCTGGATTTGGGGGGCTTTGGGAAACCAAAGCCAAGTGGCTCAATCAGGAGGCTCCTGTGCAGGCGGAGCAGAGCAGAGAAAGCTTTCTTCACTGAAAGTCAATCATCAACTTCCTCCCAGGCCAGAGAGCTGCACCTGCTGCATTTTAACCAAATCCCCAGCCACGTCTGTGTTTTCCTGAGGATTTCCAGGGATCCCAGGCAGTAAATCTTGCTGATAATTGGAACTGGTGTGGTAAGGTGGACGCTAGGCAGCCAATGGCCAGGATCACAGTTCTGTCTCATTTTGTGGGGATTTCTTCAACTAGACAAACAGGAGTGGCTGACTTTACAGTCCTGGGTTCAGGGTGCAGCTGTCGTGGGAAATGCAGGAGCTGGTTCTATTCTTTGATTCTCATGCTCAAGCTGGTTTAATTAGGAAGACATTTGGTACAAAGTCCAGAGGGCTGTTGGACAGCAGGAGCGCAGTCGCTGGGTGAACTTACTCTGTAGTCAAACGTGTGTGGGGTTTGTTCTCTGACCCAGCCTGATGCAGAAGGTGGCCAAGCCAAAGTCATTGGGGGATTAGGTTGGTGGGGCACGGTGGGCAGGAGAATTGTGAACTCTGGGTGTGGAGTCTCCTGACTGATAAGAGATTCTCACTGGTCCTGTCTTGTGTCTCCCTTGTTGCCCCTGTAGATCTGTGGGGCAAGGAAGCGTGGCAAGCGGAGGCCCTGCCTTGTCTAGGCTCTCTAACATCAATGCCACGTCCCACGTGCGTGGCCATTGTTAGTTAACAAAGCCGCTAACAGACACTGCCATCTCAGAGTATCCACCTTGCAGGGTAAGGAGCTCACTGGGAATGAGGCTCTCTGGACACTCCAAGTGGAGCACTTGAAGAAGCTGGTGGATCACACATGTTGGGAGGGTAAGAGTGGGGCAAGGAGGGTCTGGAGGGAGAGGAATCGACCCCTTTTCTGCAGAGTTGAGCTGAAATCCAAGAGAAGGCAAAGACTTTGCTTCCCAGAACGGTGTCCTCCCACCACCTCCTGCCTTCATTTATCCAAGCCAGCAAACTGGTCGCTTTCTTCCTTTGGGATGGGAAATGGGTGAAAGGCAGAGCTGGGGGCTTACATCATCCAGATAATTCTCAGGCAGCATGCCTCTCCCTCTCAGTACTGCGAATCACAGGGATCCGCAAGGAGGGTGAGCAGGAGAGGATAAACCCTTCCTCCTCCCCTCTGAACCAGACCTCTGCCTCCCAGCAAGCCCCGTGCTTCACCTTGACAAAGATCCTTTACATTCAAACCAAGGGCAGGCAATAGCCAGAAACCCAGCTCTGGCTGAGGGGCCTTTTCCCGAGAGGACAATACCCAGAGGGCTGGATGTGGGAGGAGGAGCCACTGCACACCCTTCTGCCTCCTCGCATCGGTCGGGTCAGAACAAGCCCCAGGAAGAAAGGATTCCAAACAACAAGGTGGACCTGCCCTAACCCACCCGGTCTGCATGTTGGTGCTGACAACAGCCTTTTATGGGGCTTACCCTGAACCGCAGGACGTGTCTGAACACAACGAGGAGAAGGCCAGTGCAGCAACTGGTGCCTGGGCACTTCTTTTCCGAAAGAACAGTGAGCTCTGGGGTAGTCTGCCTCCTCCCTGGTTAGCCCGACCGCTGAATGCCAGTCCTGTGCCCTGTGCCCAACACTGTAGCTGTGCCATTTCCAGGCACACCTGGGTAAGAATGTGGGGCTGGCCCTCCTACACAGACCTGCGGGAGTGAGATCAAGGAGTTTTCCCTGGCTCTGTTCACGCAGTCCTAGCTCTAGCCAGGAGTTCTGGTCCTTTCTAAGCTCCTTCCATCAGGTTAGAACAAGCCCCTGATTTCACACTGGGAAGCTGCCTGCCAAGTACTGCTGGTGGCCTTTGGACGGTGGCCTTTGGAGAAAAGCGCCCATACTCTGGCATTCCACCACCTCGGAGTAGTGGATTGCGCTAAAGCAACTGCGGAACTCCTGCCTTCCCCAAGAAGGACCAACTACCCCAGGCTCGGTTCTGGCACGCACAGTGGGACACGGGCTCAGGGAGATGACGGAAAGCATCAAACTGAGTCGGTGCAAAGAAGGTGTCACAGGAGCTTGTCTGGGGAAAAACGCCAAAGGTCCCCATCCCCTCTCCACCACCACCCAGCACTGTCTCCCTGTGGGAGGGACGCTAGCGTATCCTAGGCAGCCAGCTCTGCATGGCCTCCCTGGGGGATGTGACCCTCGCAGGGGAGGGCTCAGGACCTCAGCATCCCCCAAGGTTGTGATTCAAGGCTGCTGAGGGCCTCCGACCAGGCCGGGGTTGACCCGCAGCCCTCGACCATCCATGCGCTTCTCTTGTCCTTCATTCCACCGGAGTCTGTCTCATACCCAACCAGATTTCAGTGGAGTGAAGTTCAGGAGGCATGGAGCTGGCGACGACCACAGTGCCCTGCAGCAGAAGCAGCAGCAAGAGTCCCTCGGCCTTAGGAGGAGAAACGTGGGCCCTCAAGGAGACATCTGGAGCACACGTCCCTGGGCAGAGAGGATGGGCACTGGCAGGCTGGAAAAGGCACTGCAGAAGGGAACCGCCTTATCTTTTCTACATTTGACGCCGTGGAAATGTGTTCTCTGTAACTTAGCAAAATTAAAATCGCCTGTCGCCTGCCGAGCCTCCCTGCCTGTGTGGTTCATGCTGTCCAATGCCGCGGGCTCCCTGGCCTTCTCAGCCACCTCCCCTTTGGACAAAATCTGAGCCATGAGTTTGAAGAATCCACGCTGGCTTCCTCTCTCCTGGGGTCCCCAGGCAGGGGGCCCGGGCTCTATTTGCAATCAGCAAGGATCCCTGCTGGCCTCACTACCCCTGCAGGACTTGCAGAATAGGATAAAAAACTCTATTAAGACTTTTAAAAAACCCATCTATATTGTAATACAGTAAATGTAAATAAGATTTAAGTGAAGTCCGATTGCAGATATTTCAGATGCTGTACAAGATATATCTCACAGTCTGGGTGTAAATTCTGCAAAGGTTAATGCAGTTAAACATATTTGACACATAAAAATGTCAGATCTAGCATTAATCATTCACCGATTGTAATTGCCTTTATATGGGCCTCCTCTCCCCAAGACATATGCTTCAAACACCAGGCTGTGTAGAAATCTGGGAGGAAAAAAACAAATAATAGTTCTCAGCTGTCAGGGTCTATGATTTGCTTTGATAGATTCTGCACTGATTTCATTGCCTTTACAATCCTGTGTGATTGGGTTTTGTTTTTTTCTTTTTCTTTAAACCCCACAATCTCTCCTGTAGAGGAGGAGAAGCTGTAGGACTGCGCAGGGCCCCCATGTCCAGGGAGAGTCCAGCCTAGGACTGCCCCCATGCTCCGGGAAAGGGTTTCTCTAAAGGAGCCCTTCAGACCAAAGAGGCAAGCTGGGAACAAAGCCAAGCTGTGGCAAGTCCTCAGCAAAACCGGTTTCACCTACAGAACGTGCCCCGGGCAGCAGGAGCCACCGGCCCTCACCGCTGAGCTGCTGTTTTTCTTACATGCACACTACAAAGGGGAGTCCAGCTTTGCACCTGGACACCTGTCACTTGGCCCCTGAGCCCCTGAGCAGTGACTTCTGAGGAGGGATGGGCCCCTTCCCCTCCCCCTGCGTCTCCCTGGAATCAGCCCTAGGGTTCCAGAGCCCTCAGAGTGACCAGAGCCAGTCCCTCCCTGCTTCCACTTATCCTGATTTTAAACCTTGTCCCTGTCACGCCCACTCCTTCATTCTGAGGCTTCAGGCTACAGGAGGAGGAGGAGGCCAAGACACAGCAGTTTCGTAATTGTGTTTACTCCTAAACATTCTGCAGCGAATCCTAGCTGGTGGGGGTGGGGGGCGGCGTCAGGGTCCTGAGCTCATTAGCCATGAATTCCCTCCTCTTCAAGGTTTGGAAAGAAGCCCCGAGGTCATACCACAAAGCAATGCCCCAGATGCAATGCGGCCTTTTGCTTGCATCTTGTCTGGAGCCCCCTGTGACCTGGACTGTTTGGAAGGGAAGCTGCGGGCTTGTGTATGTGTGGGTCACCCGGCTCAGGTGGGGACAGGAACCAAACCAGCCAAAAATGGTGACTATCCTGGGCATAACGCTGTGACCCCGAGAGGTTCCACCCCTGCACTCCTGGGTACTCCCTGAGCCCCAAACCCCGCTCCACTGCTGTCTTCATTGTGGAAACACAGGGCTCCATGTTTCCAGCACTGAGGGCCAAACTGCGCAGTTCCTGCCACCAGTGCAGCGCAGAAGAGAAAAGCCTGAGCCGGGCCAGGGCAGCTAGCCAGGGAAGCTGCTGTGTGCCGAGCGCTGGAGCGGGGGTGGGGGCGGCTGCCTGTCCACCCTCCCTGGCCAAGCCCCTCTCCTTTATGTCTCCTAGCTTCACTGCAAAGCGTGGGTCACCAAAAACACAACACAGAGGAAATGGCTTAATCAACATTCCTTTGCAACAGCAACAAAAATATAACATTCCCCTGCTTTCTTTATTCTCAATCTGTTATCAAGGCAAAAGGCAAATATCATTGAACCAAACCTGAATAGACAAATATATACAACCAGTGGTAATTTAATATTTTGTGCTAATGGTATACACTGTAGATACAACCCAAGAGGAGTAAATTACAATCCTATCAATAATACATCGCATCCAGGCTCCGCTTTCCCAGCGCACGAGAAAATGTGTATTGGCAAAGGCTCTCTGAATATTAAAAGCCATGCATGTGATGAGGCAGTGGGGACTGTGATCTGCTCTTTGTTGTTAAGGTCCTGTGTGGAAGAAAGAGCCCACACGGAAGCCCCTAAAGCCAGTGCTAAATGAAGGCAATCCTCAGCAGAGCCTGAGTGATGCTTCCATCAAAGAACAACCCACAGCCAGAGCTCCAGCTTGCACGCTGCACACAGCCCTGTGTGCATCCAGATTCAGCAGGTCTGCCTCGACCGTCCCGGGTCTGTGGGGCTGGGCAGGCACTCCAGGGAGCCCCAGCACACGGCACTGACTAAGGGAAAGTCCACATGGCTTCCGAGCCCCTGCGTCTCCTCGTCCTGACCCCCGCCTCCCCAGCCTCTGTGCGGTCTTCCAAAGGAAAGGAGGAAGGAAGGGGGGTTGGAAGGCACGGCCAGTGCCAGGCAGGGGACAACCACCTCCAAAGGAGGAGGGGCTTATTTGGGGATTTAATGTGCTCCAGTCACTAACGCGCTCTCAGTGGAGCCAAATTCCCTTGCTGTTCCACCAGGAGAGGCAAAAGATACTTGGTGTCTGAATCAGGATAAGATTTCCAGGAGGGCTGGCTAGTGCCACAGTCACACCGGTCTTTGGGCTCCCAGGAAGGCAACGGGGCAGGAATGACAGGCCCTGCCTTTTCCCTCTTTGTGTCAGACCCTGGAAGGAGCAAGCTGCCGGGAGCTCTTGGGCAAAGGAGCGGGATGCAGATGGCAGCCCCCACCTCAAGCTGGGAGATGAAAAGCCCTGGCCAGATACCAGTTCCTCGCAGAAATAAAAGCGTCCTCAATTGCAGGGACTGGAGCAGGCTTTCTAGAGAGAGACAGCTATGCATCAAAGGAAAACAACGCGAAAAATCCCCTGCGTCGAGAGGCAAGAAACAGCATCTGGAGGTCTCATCCCAGGCAGGCGCCCCTCTCCTCCCCCCAGAACCCCTCCACGCCTTCAACGCCCCTTCCCCTTCGGAGGGCGAAACCCATTTGCCTGCTGCCTGTCAGATAGCAGGGACGGGTGGGACACCTGGTGGGCAGTAGGGGAACTGCACCCATGGAGCATCATACCCACAGCTTAGAGACCGGCGATACATACTGAGACCATAGGAAATCACTAGGCAAGCTTCTCCCTTGGGAATGTGATATTGAGGTGGACTTCTGGGTAGACCCTGACCTAAATTTCTGCTGCGTTCGACTGCACTTGTGAAGAGAATAGTAGCTAGGAATAAATACAAAGAGAATACATAGATTTACAGCTCCCTCGAGATTTAAACTTTGCTGAGATTTCACTGTAATTAGATACTGTCCCAGAGGACTTTACCAAGCTGAGCTGCTGGGAGAAGTTCCCCTGAAGATGGCCCCTGTACAAGAAGATCCCATCAAAGTTGATCCATCTCCAGGTGCTCAGAGGTAACACTGGGGAGTTCCCTACTGCACCCAAGAAGCAGCCTCAAGTTCCCAAGAGAGTGTGTGAGGGGCTAAGAGGGGGGGTATGTCAAATCAGATTTGGTGACGATTTGATCTGGCACAGGACTCTGGGCCAGCTACTTAACCTAAGACTCAGTTTCCATATCTGTCAAACAGAAATGATGATACAAATGGCAGCACTTACTTGGAGCCAGGCACCGCATGCGGTGTGTGTATTAAGCCATCAGTGCTCCCAGGCACTGCAAGAAATGACTGATAGTTCAGTTTTATGGATAACAAAGGGTAAAGGACTTGCCCAAGGTCACACAGCTTCGGAATGGCAGAGCTGAGATGCAAACTAGATCACACTTGGCAGCACTACTCTATCCTCTCTTTTAATGTAGGTGTGAGAATTAGATAAGAGAATGCAGGCTAGAGTCGTGGCACAGTGGGTTAAGCCACTGCCCGTGACATTGGCATCCGATATTAGGTGTTGGTTTGAGCCCCAGACGCTCCACTTCTGATCCGGCTCCCTGCTAATGCACCTGGGAAAGCAGCAGATGATGGCTCAAATACATGGACTCCTGACACCCACATGAGAGACGGAAATGGAGTTTCAGGCTCCTGGCTTCAGCCTGGCCATTAGGGCCTTTGGAGGAGTGAACCAGCAGATGGAAGATCTTACTATCCCTCTTTGTTTCAAGTAAAAAAAAAAAGACATAAGACAATGCATGGATAGGGGTTAGCAATAGCCTAGCAGAGCCTACGTACTCAAAGCATTATTCATGATGACAAGCTCAGTATCAAGTAGAAGCGTCTCTGAGACACTGTCTACTGTCCAATCTCCCACAAAAAGCAACCATGTGCAACCATGTACACACACACCTTTGCTGCTGCAAACCCAGCATTACATTTGCCGTGCAACTTAGGCATAACTACATCAGCTTCAGCTCCTAGGGCAATCAGCTCCTCCTCCCAGCAACCTGGTAGCAGGTGAGTTTTCAACTTTCGGCTTTGCATTCAGTGTCCCTGTCATTCTACAGGAGCCCTGAGGGCGTTTCTTTTTCAAAATAGGCATGGCATAAATCAAAAATAAATACCAATCTTCCTGGGATTGGCACCATTTCAAATTTTCACTCTATGATTCTGGGGTCAGGTAGAAAAGAAACCGGTGAAGAACTAGAAAAAGAGAAGACGTTGAGTGCACGAGAAAGTCGAATAAAGCCAAGAGCAGCCAACGCTGGCCCCACGCGGAGGCTGCAGCAGCGGCACCCATATGGGAGGCTGGCGCTGCAGGTGGAGGATTAACATACTGTACCACAGCGCTGGCCCCTAAAGTACTGTTTGAATACTAGTTTTACCATTAATTTGCATAATACAACACATTAAGGACAGTAAGTGGGGAGTAAGTACACAGTGACCCCTGTTGTTGATTTAACAATTGACACTCCTACTTACGGTGTCAGTGACCACCATCACCTGAGGTACAGAACACCCCACTCTGAATAGGCCACGTTGGCACAAGG